CAGACCGCGGCGGAGGCTTTTGTTTTTTTCACGAGGCTAAGGGAGTCGGGTGGGTGCGTGGGGTGGGGAGCCAGGGGAGTCGAGGCACGTTGAAGACTGTTGATGTCCCCGCTTTCATCTTTTTAGAGCAGAGATTGTAGCATATGCAACATTTCATCTATTTTTGGAACATACATATGAAACACTTGAAACATCTGTCTGAAATGTCTGAAACACTTAAACATGGCGTCGTCGGCAGCCATGACCTTGGCAAGGAACTGCAGTAACTAGCAAGTTCAGGTTAGGGGGACGTCGAGAACAACGGCCCAACGTACACCCAAGCGCAGGCGCACCGGCGGCGACCTCCTCCTTGTGGTGGCGCGATGAACGCCATAGCCACGACAGACGAGGTGAGATGGTGGCGCGGCGTGGCATGGAGCGCAGTGGAGGATGGCTGTGTCGACGAGGTAGAGTGGGTGCAGGCGAACGGCACGCCGCGGCCGCGACGGGGCGATTGCGCGGTGGAGGCAGCCAATGTGGACGGACGGTTCGGTGGAAGTGGCTGCAATGAACGAGAGTGGGAAAATGTTTTGTAGGAGTTGGAAAGGCCAGAGGCCGGTTGCCTGGGCCGGTACGCAAGCCCGATAAACAAAGCGATTGCCTGCCTGATACGCAGCCGCCAGGTCTCGTGTCTCACGTTCGAAGCGCCGCTGCCGCCCCCCGCTTCTACCACTGCTGGTCCCCCTCCCTCCCCCCTCCGGCATATCGCCGGAGGCAGGAGGGAGTGGGGATCCATCGTTTTAATAAGTTTTTCCAGTGGATCGAGTCATTAGGGTTAGGGTCTCTCCATGCCAAGTTTCTTGGTTTCAGGATTTATCTCCTCCTCCTCCTCTCCGGCGACAGCGAGAGGGCAGGATGGAATCGTTTTCTCCATGGCGGCTCTGTTAAAGATGAGGGCGACAACTACGGCGTCAGCATCCTTACCGGTATGACATAGAGACTTTTATTTCTGGACGGCGACATAAGACGGAGATGGTATTGCCGCCATGAAATATTTTTCTCATGTCTCTTCTCCGTTTTATTGTGGTTAGAACTGGCCACAATGCAGGACTATGGAGATTAAGTTTTAGATCGGTTTTCCTCATTCTTTGGTGACAGAAAGAAGAAGGAAGACACCATAAAGAAGAAGTTTTTCAACTCCGCCTACATGAATATTGGCCGTCGTTCGTTGGGCATCTTTTCTCAGGCCTTTTACCGAGTGTTTGCCTGTGCGGTCATCCATACTGCAAAGCGTCGTCCAGGTTTGGTTTTGAGATCTGAAGCTATTTACAGCGTGGGTACAATTTAGATGAAAATCAGTTTCTACATATTTGTGTAATTCAGAGTGCTTGTAACGTGTTGATGTACCCAGCTATTATCTAATATAATTTTTCTTTCATCGCTAAAAAAGCCCAATAAACAAAGCTACCGTCTGCCGGACGCCCTAACCCTATCATCATCGTTTGAAGTAAATTAAACTTTCAAAAATTTCATACTTACACGCTCTCTCTTCTCAGGCATAAAGCATACACTCCATATTACCTATTTATATACAAGAGCTAATTGTTAGCTAGCTAAAAATTCGCTAAAATTAACTCTAACACATCCTAATACAAGGCTAATAGGTGGACTAATTCTCTAGTCAAACTTAGCCAACCCTAACTAATTTCAGCTTATTTTTAGTCAAACTAGTAACTAGCCCTAATGATCTAAACTCAAAAGAGCTAGCCTTTGTAGCGACTACATCAACTCCTTCAGGATTAGACTACACGGATTAGCAACCGACTCCGGTGCTGCCTAAGGCCATGTTTGGTAGTGCTCCCAGAACCACTCCGAGAATGGCTTCGTCCCTTCGCCAATTAAACATCACCGTGTATGTCCGTTTCGATCTACTCCACCTGTGTTTTCTACTCTCTGAAGATACCAGGGGAGAAAAAAAGTAGCTTCACTGGGCTTCTCTGACGATACACACGTGTCCTCCTCAAAACGCCCCTCCATGTGGGCGAGGCGCCAGGACAGATCCATTGATGTGTGGGGCGCGGAGTCGTCAAGGTGGTCAAGACACAGAGCCACCGAAGCACGAGGTGGTCAAGGTGCAGAGACAGTGGGGCATGAGGCGGCTGAGGCATAGGGCCTCCGAGGACGTGCGGCCGTCGAGGAGCAGGCCATGGGCCTAGGGCGGCTGGTGTGTAGAGGAGGAAGACGGAGGCATCGGGCACCACCACATGAGGCGGTCACGGCGGATAAAAGAAAGAAGAAATAGGAGAGGAGAAATTAAAATAAAGGCATTATAGACTTTTCACTAGTTTTATCTAACATGTGGAGCTATTTTTCCATACATTTTACTAAATCAACTTCCGCTCTCCACCAACAAAGCTGCTCAAGGAAATGAAACCACGAAAAGCTGCTCCACCAGTGAAGCGGAGCTATATCAAACGGCGCTGAGATGCTGACCCTGGAGCTGAACTCTGTCCCATTCCCATCCGTGCAATTTGAAAAAAAAATCACGATATCCTCTGCAGTAATGCAGGCCTGCAGGGCAGCAGGAGCATTGAAAAGGCAACGACTGCGGTACTGCGGAGGATCTGTGTCATCTCTTTTCGCAAAAGAAAAAACTCAAACTCAAATTACACACTATAATGCTGCCAAAATCAAAGTCTGTGAGATAAAAATGCTAGCACATCATTTTCTCTGAGATTCTGTTCTTAATATGCATCACAATTCACCAGCCCCTCCTGTGACCATAATGAGGTTTCTTCAAGGCCCGGATTTTAATATCTTATCGCAAAGAACAGCCTGAACCTGATACTGAATATAAACCTCTCTAGCAATGATAAGCCGGCTCTTGACCAAAACTGCCACTCGCGCAAACAACTTGAACTTAGTCAATCCCCAAGTACTCAAAAACTGCTTGGCACCATGCTCACCCAGTGCTAGTATCACGTATATTAAAATCCAGGAGGTTTTTTTTTTAATAAGGAACATGCCCAGGAGGTTTTTTTAATAAGGAACATGCCAGTATGCCACATGTTAGAAATTTGTTAATGCTGCACTTGTACAATTCAGCAAATAAAGATTTACCAAACAATAACACATCACTACCGTGAGCTGTAGAGAGTAAACTTGAGGCGCTAATCTTGATTGGTCCCGATCACTGGAATCCACTGGTAGTGCAGAATTTGAAATATGAAACATCCTCAGAATTTGGGCTTGTGAAGTTTCACAACAGGAGGTTAGAGTCCATCACATATATATGGAACTAAATGCCCTAAATGCAGAACAAAATACAACAAAAAAAATCTGATTCCAATAACAAGATGTTTAATTTACAAAAAAAATGGTTGCAATTGAATTAAAATGGGATACAAAAAAGTAATCTTCGCACCAGGCTCAGCAGTCAACACGACTACACACATGTTGCCACTTCAATCAAACCATAATTACAACCCCGTACAACTGCATCCTACTGTCAAGAGTCATATGCACAATGGATGCTATCATATTTAGTAACTAATAAATAGATATTTAGCAGTAGAATTCTGAACCAAATAAGATAATTCCACAGGAAACAAGATTACAGTGTAAAGCAAGAAATATTTGATGAATAAGGGAGGAAGTATGAATTGTTGCAAGCAACAAAAAGAGAGGCATCAAACATGAAAGCTCACCTGACTCTCAAGATTGCACTCCTACATCGGATATCAGCTTCGCCACATCAGCGAACCAGAAAAAAAAAACAAATATATGACACCTTGCTACATAGAGTAGCATGACATGCCAAAATTATTGGTGATTTAAAGACTCAAGAACAGCTCTAAAGCTCTAACTGATCAGATGTATAACACTAACTCCTTGAATATGACGAGTGAAAAGTGTGCTTTTTTAAAGCAAAGAATGAAGATGCATTTAGTCATGAATTGGCCTTTTTTTCATGTTCGTTACTTTATTCAATATGAATATGACTTTACCATTTACTGAATATAAGTCAAATGAAAACAGACTGACTACCCAATGGTCAGCTAATTTTGTTTTGGATTCCACTCAGATTTTGGACGACAAGATGACTGGCACATCATTATGTATATTTTTTGAGAACCAAGACAACAAAGTTGACCACTTCCTAAGAGTGTTTCAGTCAAATTTTTAGATCCCACCAACAGCCTGAAAAGTGACCGCAATTTCGTTCAAGTGCAGTTAATCTTACATAGTAGGCAAAATTGTAACAAAAAATAGAGCAAATTTCTTTATATGTCCATCAATTACTTTTATCAACTAGAACAAGGACAACATCCTCTGTTTTGAACTACTTCCTCCATTTTAAATGTACGACGTTTAGGACAAGCTAATTAGTTCAAACGTCGTATATTTTAAAAAAAGGTGTACTATCTAATTATGCAGTTATTTGTTTTGGTAAATACTTGTAGGAACCCTGCAACAACTGAACAAGACATCAAATTAAAAGCGTGTCATCTAAAATTATGTCTCAAAGAGGAAGCAATACTGAAAAGACTATAACTCCTACAATGTAACTAAAAACTATACAGAATCCCAAACACAACAAAGACAAAACGGGGTGGGGAGTGGTGGTGGGGTGTGTGTGTGTGTGTGGGGGGGGATGAGATCATGGGGAGAACAACATCACAAATCATGGGAGAGACAATAAGGACGCAAAATCGGCTGAAATGACAAACTTAATTAGCCGACTAATGTTTAGCGATTCCCAATAAAAGTACTTTGAATTTTTAAGGACAAAATCATCAGTAACAGAATAAAACACTGCAAACGGTGGGGTTCCATCACAAAAAAATATATGTTGGCAAGTAAGCTGTAATGTAAAAATTAAATAAAATCACAACAGGCAGAACTTATAAAGACACTGCCATATCGGCGATTATCGTCAATACTGAAACTTTTGTCAATGTCAGTTAAGCTGAAGCAGTTCAACTTTTATTAAAAACATGGGCTGCGAAAGCATATAGACCTTATATTTTGGTACGTAGAACCCAGAGAACAAAAAAGTAACAACGCTCACCTGCAGAAATTCAGCACGATCCACGCCCGTGTGAAAATGATTTCTATGAATTCACCGTGCATCAGCCAATCAACTATCAACATTCTTTTTCTCAAAGATAGTATGCAGCCCTCTCTGTTTACAGTTCAGTAGATGTATCGTCGTTATAGTGTATCTACATCTAAGATTTCAACCATTTGAAATCAGTTCTGAAGTTACTTGCTATCTTCTACTCCCTTTTCTTCTCTTACAATTGTCAATGTCAAAAGGATGTGTCCTTTTAGCACATTGATCAATAATACTATGTTGAAAAGAATTTGCAGTTGATCTTACAGCTGAAGATAGTGCCCTGCACCATTGATGCAAGCAATCATGAGTGTTATTTCTTCTTAACAATTCTAACCTTCTAGTCTCATTCTTTGTAACACCACTTCTTACTAGAATAACCCTTAGTGCCTGGAATGTTGTATCATTTGGTGGTGTGTTGGATGCCAACATCTTCGTAAATATTTTAAAAGCCTCCTCCATTCTTCCACTAGATACGTACATTTGGATTACAGAATTGTAGCTTAGTAACTGAGTTAGAAGTCCTAAAGCTAGCATTTCCTTGCAAATCATGTGAGCTACATCATAGCGACCAACTTTCTTGTACATACACACCATCATTGCATGTGAGAATTCATTTGCACTTCCCCTGACCTTCAAACTTTCAAAAACCTCACGTGCTTCCTTCACCATACAATTATCACTGTAGAGATCAATCATGCAATTAGATGCATAAAGGATGGCATCCGTATCCAATGCTCTGAGTAACTTATATGTTTTTCGGGCCTCTGCAACATACCCTACTTTTGTGTAGAGCTTTATCAAAGAATTGTAGATTGCAACATTCTCACATAAACCATCCTTTTTCATTAAGCCAAAATATGCTGAAGCTTGTTGAACATTTCCAATTTCAGCGTATGCATCAATTAAGATAGAGTAGAGGAAAACATCAGCACGGACCCCTGACATGATCATTTCTCTAAATAGGTATTCAGCCATTCGTAGATCACCATTCTTAGCAAAGCTACCAATTACCACAGAGTATGGGAAACAGTCTGATAGCAATTTCACGCCTTTCATTTTTTCCAAGTAGTAAATAGCCTTCTTTGGCTGTTTAGCAGTTGACAGAAGTTGAATGAGAGAACTGTATGTCACGTAATCTGGCAAAATGTCATACTTCTCCATGCCATCAGCTATCTCACATGCCTCATCAAGCTTCTCGACCAACCCATATGCTTTGATCATAACATTGCACGCAGAAGTACTGAGCATCTTCTTCTTTCGGCAGCATATAAAAGCCTTCTCTGCAAGAACTATGTATCCTTTCTCTCCAAATGCATCAATATTTGCAGAAAAGCATTTAGAATTCATATGGTGATGGAACCTGTCAAACCAACACCAAGCTTGCTCAAGCATTCCAACATTTACATACATCCTTGTCAAAGCAGATTGTGTGTATTCATCTATCACAAAGCCCCTCTCATCCATTTCCTTTAGAAGGGCTTCCGCTTTAGTGACCATGTCCCTGGTAGAGTATCCATATAAGAGTGTGCGGCAGCTCACAGCATCTGGTACCAAGTTTTCTGCTTTCATCTTCCAGTAGTAGTACTCTGCACTATCAATATCATTGCTTTCTCTGTACAGTGAGATCAGTATATTGTAAGTCCTAGTGTCAGGAAAGCACCGGAATTCCTCCATCATCTGAACGAAAGAAGCAACTTGCTCCATTCTGTGGTGCTTACCCCAAGCATGGATCATTGAGTTAAATGTAACAACGCTTGGCACAACACCTTCTCTCAACATTTGGTTGAATGTATCTGATACTTTCTCCAGATGACCAGCTTTTCCATAAGTATCAATCAAGGTGTTGTAAGTACACAAGCTATAGTGAGGGCGTCCCTCCATCCTTCTGATTGAATCCGAGGACCACCTTTTGAAGAATAGCTCAGCTGTTTCATACTCCCCAGCCTTCTTATGCGCCTGCATCACAATACTCATAGTGACCTCATCAGGCATCAAACCACGCTTGCACATGTCTCCAAGCCAAACCAAAGTCGCCCATCCTCTCCCCCCTTTGCAACACATGTTGATCAGTGTACCATATGTTGAGTTGTCCGGTGCCACACCGAAGGAATGCATCTCATGCCACAGCCTAAGAACGAGGCCCCACCTCCTTGCCTTTCCAACATTATAGAGCACAACATTGTAGTGAATCACATTAAGCTCATGGCCCCGCTCCCTGCGAAACCAGTCAAAGATCTCGACTGCCCGTCGCCAATCTTTCTGCTCCTTGAGGATGATCGTCCTCTCCCTGCTGCTCAGGGTGTCCTTCCACGGCCAGAGCGCTTCCCCAACGTCCTGGACATGCTCCAGTGCCTCCAGCATTGCTGGAAGCGACCCACCGTGGTGGACCCAGTTGCCTTTCTTCTTCTTCTCCCCTCCGACAGTTTGTTTGGGAACCGTGCATGGAACTACCAACTCCGGGCAAATTTCAACAGTCCTGGCTGGCGCAGAGACTGCATTGATCTGGAATTTGAGAACATTCGAGGGCGCCGGAGCTGTAAGATTCGGCAACCGAGCCCGTGGCTGAGCGGGAACTTTGAGAAAGCAATCGCACGGAGCCAGCATCTGGCCCTGCCCTTGTCCACCCTGGAAAAAAAAAAGTGGCGCCGTTTGGATAACGGGATATGAGGGGATAGGGAAATGAGGAGGGATGGAAAGCTCATCCGCTGTTTGGTTCATGGGAGAGGAAAATGGGAGGAGGGGAAAGGGAAATGCGGACCTCTGGTGCCGGGACAGGAGCTCCGTACGCGGCCGCAGCCCGCAGGTTAGCGCCCTCTGGTGCGCTCGGCCTTCGGTGTGCTCAGCCCGGAGCCGCGCTCGCCTTCCACACGACGGGCCGCCGGAGCCGCCCACATCTAGCTCGCGCGCGCGGGCCGCCGGAGCAGCGCGCGTCAGGCCGTCGGAGCTCACGCTCCTTCCACGCGTGGGGCCACCGAAGCCGGGCTCTTCGCACGGTGCCGCGCGAGCTAGGACTCGGAGCTGTCGCCTCCCGCTCGGTGAAGAAGGGGCATGACTGGAGGAGGCCGAGGGAGATGACGCGGGGGGCGGGGTCGCCGGTGGCGCGGGTGAACTCGGAGGACCGTCGCGGAGCAAGCGTGCGCCGGAAATCCAGTCCGTGTCCGCCTGGGCGTGCGTGAGATTGCTCAAGTGGGCCGGCCGAGTTGGGCCCAACTGCGTTTTGAGTCCAGAAATTTTAAGCTCTAGCACCTCCTGACCTCCTGCAGTGGATTATACGGATGCTGGCATGCTGCAGATGCATGTATAATATTCTAAAAAAATGTATAATCATTTTAGAACAGCAAAGGTAAAGCATGGTACATGTCAACTAGCAATCACAAGAGCATGATATTAAGACAAGCATACATGCACGATATCATGGCATAACCGACAAGCATCCAAGATGACCGCAAGTGTGTGTATATATATATATATATATATATATATATATATATATATATATATATATAGAGAGAGAGAGAGAGAGAGAGAGAGAGAGAGAGAGACGTCATGACATCTGACATCTCAAAGGTAGCTGTGCATATGCATGAAAGATGATGGAAGCATTGTAGTCCATACAAAGAACCAAAATGATACGCTACACAAAAGCTCTTCCTAACTTCCATACTAAACGCTCTCTCCCTCTTATGCCTTGTTTGAGTGTGTATGTATTCATCTCAATCTACATGTGTTGAAGTGAATTATAGTGAAATTAAACTAAATTACATTTTATTCCACTCCAATAAATATGGATTGAGGTGGATACACATGCATCCAAACAAAACCTTATGCGTAAAACACACGATACTGATGTTAAAGCCGGCTAAAACTGATTTGTTGTGAGAGAAAAATACTGTAGATTATAGCTGATAAATTGACCGATAAGTTCAAACGCGAACAGCTCATCCGGCTGGCAGGAGAGAGTGAAGTAGAACCTGACACAGGAGTCCGACAGTGTTTAAATCCAAAACTCACTGCAATCTGCTGTAGTGACTGAGCCGAAGTCAAAACTCAAAGGAGCTAGCCTTTGCAGCGACGGCACGCTATGGGACTCTGGGCGGCTGATTCTGGTGCGGCCTCAGGTGCTGACCCTGAGCTGAACTCTGTCCCTGAAGAGTTATGAGCCTCATGGTCTGCAGTACTAGGAGAGTAGCTGTCCTGAATCATTTCAGGAACAAGATCCTCAGGGGAACACAACATAGCGCGTGTTTAGTTTCACCCTCAAATCTCAAAAAGTGCTACAGTACCTGTCACATCGAATATTTACGGCCTGTGCATGGAGCATTAAATATAGATAAAAAAAAACTAATTGCACAATTTGATGGGAAATTGCGAGACGAACGTTTTGAGCCTAATTAGTCCATGTTTGAACACTAATTGCCAAATAAAAATGAACGTGCTACAGTAGCCCCAAATTCTAATTTCCTGAAACTAAACACGCCCATAGGCGACTGGACTGGTTCTGCCCAAAACTGTCATCGTGACAGCTATGGTAGAGACCCTGTAAGACTGTCTCCAACAATAGAGACCTAAACACAACACGCATTGTATGATTTAGATCATGCACAGTAGAAAATGTTTGTACTTAAAATTTCGATTCTCCTACAGGCGACGCAAATCAGCCAGTGCTGTGACGCAAATCGCTTCCATCTCCAAGTTCCTGGCGTCGGTGGCCGCGAGATCCGGCGCGGCGAGAGGGCGCCCCGCCTCCGCCGGCGCCTCATCCTCCTCCTTCGCCGAGACCTGCGCGCCGCTGCCAGGCGCACCACCGCCGCCTGCGCCTGACCGTGCTCGCCGTCTCCTCCGACACGCTTTCGCTGGGAACAAGGCCGCCGCCCGCGATCCGGTTGCTCTCGCCGCTTAACGGCTCCCAGCAGAGCCTCGCCTGGCTGCCGGCCATGGACTCCACCGGCGGCTCCCATGCTGGGCTCGTCTCGCTGAAGCCGGCGCGCCGCCGTCGGCGCCGGGAAGGCGGGGAAGGGCTGGGCGCCGTGGGGCCTCAGATCCGGCCGAGCCCGGGCGCAGGGAGGGTGCATGGCGGCGGCATAGGCTAAACCCGGCGGCGAAGGGAGGCCGGCAAGCTTCGACCCAAGGCTCAAGGGTCAACGGACGGAGGAAAGCGACACGGAGGAGAAGAGAGAGAGAGAGGCGGCAGAGCGAGAAGGAAGAGGGAGCAAAGGCGAGGGAGCAGGCGGCGATTCACAGCGAGCTCGGGCTTTGGCTGGGGCGGCAAGCGGAGGTGGGGGGTCGGCGGTGCTGTGCTCGGCGTGAGAGGGAGGGAGTGGAGCTGGGAAGGTGGAAGGGCGGCGGTGGTGCTTGCTGCATGCCCCAATGAGCAAGGTGAGGGCAGCGGACGACATCTTCTGTTCCTGGTTGTCCGCGCGCATCAGCAAGAGAGAAGGGGGCAGGGGAAGAAAGGAAGAGCAGAGCAGAGGGGGGAGAAGGGGGAGGAAGCAGAGCACTACAACGCAGCGACCCCGGCGCGACGGCGGCTTCAGCGGCAGAGGGCGCGGTGCTCCGACGGCTTCAAGCTCCAGCAGCGGTCCGGCTTCTCCATCACGTGCCGCCGCGGCCACCATCGGAGATTTGAGTAGCGAGGAGAGAGGCGATGTTTTTTTGCGTTTTAACTTGGGCTTGTAGGCAAAATACGTCGCGTGGATGGGTCATCCATTGGAGCCACGATTTGATAGGCATATGCACTGTACAAGACTTATTTTTGGGTTTGGCTATCTCGTTGGAGTCAGTCTAACTGCAGTCCCGGGCGGTATAGCCTGAGCTGACTCGACTAGAGCTGTCTGCGCCAGTATTGCTGATGCTACTGCAGCTTGACCCTTCTGACAGACTGACCCAGGTGTCTCAAAAGACAGAGAGACTGAAGGAAGGGTGGAGATCACACTAGGAGTCGCAGGTGGTTGTGTGCGCACTGGGAATAGCCATGACGACACTGAGGGTACAGCAGGCTGTCAGGACATTGGGGCACTGAAGAATGGAACGCTACCAGGTACAAGAGACTGCAAGGGAGGAACTGGGCCTGGGAGAGATATTCGGTGCTGCAGGATGGTGGATGCTGGTGGACTGGAAGTGATAGTTGAACATGTGTGCATGGTTCTCTAGATCCCTCTGAAATGAATCCTGCGAGGCCTGCATCCTCAACCTCAGCTCCTCCATCTTCTTCTGGACATTACTGAGGGTACAACAGACTCCTTCAGTTAACTCGTTTTCTACATCTGCTCGACGCCTTTCAGCCTCAGCAAGCTCCTTCTGGAGGTTTTCAATAACCTTGTCTTTGGAAGCGAGTTGTTGCTCCAAGACTGTCTCTCCCCTTGCAGATGCTCGATGTACTTGCATTGACCTGCAGGCGGGAATAAACCAGAGGTCAAAAGCTTGATCAGCAAAGAGCGGATTCATAGTACAGTTTAAATCACACACCTTCTTTTGTTTCCCGAAGAAGGTTTACTTCTTGAGAGAATTCCTTTGACACCAGACAAATGACCTGTTCCTTTTTTGACCCTAAAAAAATTTTCGTTCCCTATTTGACATCGAGTTCAACTTTCGTTCCTTATACGACACTCCGTCGGGTTTGCCATCCGTGAACCGTTAACTGACATGTGGGCCCCACCACCCTTCTCCCCTTCTCGGCCGAGGAGTGGCCCCGCGACGGCGGCGCTTGGACGGGGCGCATCCGCGCGTGGAGGTGGCGGCGGAGGCGCGCTCGCGCGGCCAGGGGCGCGTCCCGTCCCCGCGGCGACGGCGCTCGGCCGGAGCGCATCCCCATGGCGTCGGCGCGCGGTAGGGGCGAGCTCGCGCCACGGCGGCGCATCTGCGATGGTGGCGCGTCCGCGCGGAGACGAGGACCAAGGATGCGAGCTTGACGACGCTCGGCCGGGGCGCATCCCCACGGCGGCGGCGCGTCTGCGATGGTGGCGCATCCCTGCCGTGACGACGACGACGACGACGCCCGCGCCGTCGCGCAAGAGTCAATCCACGTCCCCACCGTGACAATGACGATGCCCAACTCGCCTCCTGCTGCTCCAGTTCCTGGACGACCTGAGCACGAGTAGGAGGACGCCGTGGAGCACGCAGACTCCGCCCCCCGTGACAACGACGACGGCATTGGCGGCTCAGGCCTGCCATTGAAGATGGCGTTGAGGAACCCGCGAGCCACGCACCGAGGGACACCGGCCTCCTTGGCAGCCTTCTTCTCCGCGCGCGGGCTCGGACTTCGCGGCGGCGGCGACGCTCGTGCGTATGAACCGTAGGTGCTATGTTGTTATGGCTGCTCCGTCGAGACGAGAGCCCGTCATAGCTGGAGCACTCGGAGAGTCGGAGAAGCTCGACGTGGTGGCACCGTGCGGCCCTGGAGCCGCCGCCGCCTTGCTGCCATGATAGCTCCTCGCCGCGGGGATCGGGACGCGCCCCTGGCCGCACGAGCGCGCCTGCGCCGCCACCTCCACGCGCGGATGCGCCCCGTCCAAGCGCCGCCGTCACGGGGCCACTCCCCGGCCGAGAAGGGGAGGAGAAGGGGAGAAGCGTGGTGGGGCCCACATGTCAGTTAACGGTTCACAGATGGCAAACCCGACGGAGTGTCGTATAAGGAATGAAAGTTGAACTCGGTGTCAAATAGGGAACGGAAATTTTTTGAGGGCCAAGAAAGGAACGGGTCATTTGTCTGGTGTCAAATAAGGAATTCTCTCTTACTTCTTCTTCCAGCTGAGACACTGCCAAACCAGATTGCTTGGCCTGAACAATGGCCGTGCGCCACATGTTCTGACAAACCTTCAGCTCTTGGATTATCGCCCTGTTAGTTTGGGCTTGTTTGGCTGATAAGCCATGGCTAAAAGTACTATTGACTGATTTGGTGTGAGAGAAAAATACTGTTCGTTGGCTGATAAGTCATGGCTTATAAGCCAAACACGACCAAACAAACAAGTTGAATGGCTGATGGCGTCCAGTCGGGAGGGTTCTTCTTCGGGAAGCATCAACTTAGCTTCCTTGACTTTAACGTCAGCCGTAATGGGCAAGTTTTGCCCACTGAAAGTTGGGGCTGACGCAGAGTCGTCAACAGTCGATGTAGTCGGGAGTGTAGGGGCGTTTTTTGCTCTATGATCAAAATAAATGGGTCAAGAGGATGCTCAGAACGAAAAGAATGACTCAACCAACAAAGCAGAACACTCACAGATTGATGGGGACCGAGACTTTCAGTTTCTTCCTCGGTCTGGGTGGTGGATTGCTAGTAGGTGGAGTCGAAGTTTTTTCATGAGTACAAACCTCCCAAACACATTCAATACTACTCAGACGAGCGAACGCCTCATACAACCGACCTGTAGTTGTAGTGGTGGCCGAAGGAATGGAATTAGTAGGTTCTGACTGAACTGTCCCTGAGTCTCTAGCCTTTATATCATGCGAACATCTGACTAGCTTTGTTGGGGGTACTGTAGGGGGTGTAACCCTAGATACGCACGGCAAGGGACATGGGCCGCACCATCAGGGATGGTCCAGCCCACGACATCAAGGCTTGCGGCGCACGGCACTGGTCGGCGTACACCGCAAGGCATCAAGGCAATAACCTAAAGATGGCGATTGATCTGTTAGGATATGACCGAATATTAGATTCCTTGTAAAGCTTATCGCTTACCCGATTAGACTTAGATCGGAGATTCCTTGTAAAGCTTATCGCTTACCCGATTAGACTTAGATCTAACTGACCTATAACCCTACCCCCATCTATATAAGGCGGGTAGGGGACCCCCTTGAAACATATTCAATCTCATACACCAGCAATACAAACCAACAGAACGCAGGATTAGAAAAATACGTCGAGCTGACGGCCTGAACTTGTCTAAATCTTATGTCTCTGTTACCATCTAGTTCTTGTTCACGCTCACCTCTCCGTACAATCTACCATCGTGGGTATACCCCTCGGTGGACTATCGACGATATTCTGTTGACAGGTGGCGCGCCAAGTGTTCCCATGGCGAACCAGATAGTGCATCTTCCAAGCTCTCCGTTCTCCCCCAAGCCCGGCCAGTCCTTTACGATAGGATCCATCTCCTAGGTCATCAACGCCAATGGCGACGGGGAGATCATCGAACCGGTGCAGGGTAATCCTGCGTCGATCATGCCAATTCCTGCTCTAGCAGATCCGACCTCAGAACCTGTTCCGGGGTCCACTTCCTCACCGAGAGCCCACCGCTCGGCGCCTCATCGATCGAGGAAACCCATTGATCAAGACGATCTGATCGCTTCCATAGATCAGGTCGACATAGGCTTAGCCGAGTGCTTGTCGCTCGCGGAATCGGTCTTAGATCGATCTGCCAAAGATGACGAGTTTCCACCACTCCAGCACCGCCAGGCTATTGGCGCTAAGTGCCCCGCTCGTTCACGCCGTCCAAGGTGGCAAGACAAAGATTTGATCATCATGGCTACTCTGCAGGGGCGCACAGTTCAGCGCCGACCACTCACCAGATCTGATCTACCTAAGGCTGATCGGGAGACCCCAGCGTAAGACGCCATGGTAGCTGAAAGGTCCTAATGGCTAGAGGGGGGGTGAATAGCCTAATAAAAATTTCTACAACAACACTTAACCAAATGGTTAGACAATTATGAGGCGAAGCTAGTGTTGCGCTAGCCTACTCAAAAATGCAAGACACCTACCACAATTCTAGTTTAGATAGTGTCAATTCACACAAGAGCAATGACACTACCCTATGTTAGTGTGCTCTCAAAGGCTAACTAAAGAGCCACACCAACCAAGCATGCAAGCTCTCACAACTAGCTACACTAAAGAGCTTGTCAACTAGTTTATGGTAAAAGTAAAGAGAGTGATCAAGAGGGTTATACCGCGTGTAGATGAATGAACCAATCAATCACGAAGATGAATAACAATGATGACCAATCACCTCGGAATCAATGATGAACACAATGATTTTTACCGAGGTTCACTTGCTTGCCGACAAGCTAATCCTCATTGTGGCGATTCACTCACTTGGAGGTTCACGCGCTGATTGGCATCACTCGCCAAACCCTCAATAGGGTGCCGCACAACCAACACAAGATGAGGATCACACAAGCCACAAGCAATTTACTAGAGTACCTTTTGGCGCTCCGTCGAGGAAAGGTCAAGAACCCCTCACAATCACCACGATCGGAGTCGGAGACAATCACCTCCTCCACTCAACGATCCTTGCTGCTCCAAGCCGTCTAGGTGGCGGCAACCACCAAGAGTAACAAGCGAAATCCGCAGCGAAACACAATCACCAAGTGCCTCTAGATGCAATCACTCAAGCAATGCACTTGGATTCACTCTCAATCTCACTATGATGATGAATCAATGATGTAGATGAGTGGGAGGGCTTTGGCTAGGCTCACAAGGTTGCTATGTCAATGAAAATGTGCAAGGGTTATCCCTTGAGCCGGCCATGGGGCTATAAATAGAGCCCCCATCAAATAGAGCCGTTATACCCCTTCACTGGGCAAAACGCGTTCTGACCGGACGCTCCGGTCAGACTGACCGGACGTTGGCTCTCAGCGTCCGGTCGCTCGATGTCAGCCACGTGTCCCCTGCTTCAAATGTTGTTCGTCAGATTTCAACGGTCGCGAAGCTGACCGGACGCTCCGGTAAAACTGACCGGACGCTGAAGCCCCAGCGTCCGGTCGTTTCCAGTAAGCTCCCCGAGGCATGTTTTTTCGACCGGACGCGTCCGTCCACCTTGATCGACGCGAGACGGCGTCCGGTGCTCAACCCTAGCCACTGTATCATTGAAGTCGGTGTGACCGGACGTAGGCGACCAGCGTCCGGTGCTTACGGATTCGGCGTCCGGTCACACAGACCGACGCCAAACATCATTTCGATCAACTCCATTTCAACTCTTACTTCTTCACCCTTGCTCAAGTGTGCCAACCACCAAGAATTTTGCATCCGGCGCAATAGAAAATGGACATTTCATTTTCCCGAAAGCGCCGAATCCCGCCGAGCTTGCGAGGCGGGAGGGAGAGAGGGACCCAAACCCATCTCAACCCTGCAAACACCTTGTGCACATGTGTTAACATATTTTCACAAATATTATCAAGGGTGTTAGCACTCCACTAGATCCTAAATGCATATGCATTGAGTTAGAGCATCTAGTGGCACTTTGATAACCGTATTCCGATACGAGTTTCACCCCTCTTAATAGTACGGCTATCAAACCTAAATGTGATCACACTCTCTAAGTGTCTTGATCACCAAAACAAAATAGCTCCTATGGTTTATACCTTTGCCTTGAGCTTTTTGTTTTTCTCTTTCTTCTCTTCAAGTGTAAGCCCTTGATCATCTCCATGCTATCACCATTGTCATGTTATGATCTTCATTTGCTTCTCTACTTGAAGTGTGCTACCTATCTCATGATCACTTGATGAACTAGGTTAGCACTTAGGGTTTCATCAATTCACCAAAACCAAACTAGAGCTTTCAGTAGCCCATCCTTTCGGGCTAACCGGTGCAACTACTGTCTATCGGGAAGCCATGCGAGATCACTTCGCCGACAAGATTGGTCATATCTATAGACTCACCGAGCCCGATCTACCTAAGGCCGATCAGTTTGCACCAATAGTCAACATGGTGCACATCCGCCAGCTTGATGAGGACTCCTTGCTCCCCATCCTGGAGGAGCGACCGGGGTCAGAATCGGAGGGTTCTACCGGCACCGCTGACAACTCCACCTTCATCCCTAGGCATTTTGGTGGAGAACTCTTCATGGTCAGCCATGATAGCGCCATCCGGGACAGAAAGACCAACTCCCAGCGCATTGCTCAGGAAACTAGGAACGTCGACCGTGCCAGGTGCTGTTTAGACGAAGCAAACGCCGCTGCCACCGTAGCCACCGGTGGGAAACGCGGTCGACCAACAAGGAAATCCGCACGTTGCTCGTAGTCTTGATCACGAATTCCTCCAAGTCGACGGCCACGACGTCGAGCAGACACCGATTGCTAACCTTGTAGTGGCTGCTAATGAGCTGGCTAGACTCCAACAGATGCCGGAGATTGCCAAGGTCACTGCGCTGCTTAAAGCAGCCCAAGTTCAAGTCAATGACTTCCACAAAGACCAGGCTCCCTCTCACTCGACCGCGTCGAATC